AATAGATTGCATAGTAATGCACATTCTCACAGTTAAATTTAATGTTGAAGAGCCTCTATTGCCAAAAGAGTCACTTTTAATATTGTGAAGTTTTGGGTTACAGTTTTTGCCTATGAATGAGGGAAGCTCAAAGAACCAATGATAGCTGAATTCAAATCTATAACAATCTCCACAAACCTCCACTTGGGGATGTGTTGCCATTCTGTTTTCCATGTTCATCTTCTCCTGTAAGCTTTTTCACTAAATCTGCTGCTGGTTGTGATACTTTAGCAAGCTTAGTAAGAATGGTTTGCGTGTCATGAGCAGGTAGCAATCCTCCAGCTCTCTTTTTGAGACCATGTGAAAGACCAGCTTCAACAGCAGCTAACARAAATAAAATAAATGTACAGAGACATTTATTAGAACATGCAAAAGCAACATTATTATATATTCAATTACTTAAAGTAAAGTTCTATCATCAGTTATAATTGAAATCATTTTAATTCCAAGCTTTCGCACTCTTATATTATATATACAATGGATCCCAAGTACAAAAAAWCACTTTGGAAAATCAACATTATTCATCATCATCGTCATCATTATCATATATAGTCACTTTTTATTGTATTTTTTTCAGTAAACATTAATTATGGCATGTTTTTCTTTTTGTRTCATTTGAAAAATCTCTTTTTCTGGTTTTTATAAAATGCCATTGTTATCTTTGGTCAACACCAATATTTTGGTAATATATCACTACTGCACAAATTGTTTTTAGAAAAAAACAGTATGAACATCAAGGGGACAATATCACACCACAAAAATGTGACACAATTAAGTTATCAACTATAATAATCATGCAATGACTAAGAATTCACTGAAACAGAGACCAGAAACAATGACTAATCATAAAAGAAGTTCAATAAAAATAAAARGCTTATTTTAATTCCTTTGTATTGTGTTTATGCCTGAGTGAATTCTTACTGCACAGATCCTAACAAGATATTATCAGCACTAGTTATGTAAAAAGATAAATTTAACACCGTAAAAAAGTATGTGGAAAAACTTACTGACGTTTCGGATGTTAATCCTTCGTCCTTTTTTACGGTGTTAAATTTATCTTTTTACATAACTGTTTCTTTAGAAACACCGACGCAGCTCACACTAGTTTACCGCTAGTTCCCACCATTATCAGCACTAAATAGTTATGAATTTTTTTTGCACTTTTATGCCATGCAAAAAGCTTAGGAACCAAGCATTAAGAAACCATGCCCAGACACCTTATCGTATTGAGAACTACTCCAAGTTACATCTATTATGGGGGCATACAAATTCGATTGATTTGGTCAATGTTTGATTTACTTGGGACTACTTAAAATTCTCTCACAAAATAACCTAAAGCTTGATTTTGAGCAATGTCTGAAGCAATATAAAATCACATGTTTGTTTGAGTTTCATTGGTTTTTGGTTTTGCATCATTATTTGTTCTCTCTGTTGTTAGTTGTACAAAATATTATATATTATATATTGAAATTTTGATTTATCACTTTTTTTGACAGGGGTTTATGATAATAAAACTTTTAGTTTCCATRTTTGAATAATCAATACCCTCTCTATAGACTAAACGAGCAAATCAATACCAGGAAWGACAGGAAATAATTATTTTGTACAGCGAATAATTGAGAATTCATTAATTGAAATGACTAGAAAAGATCAAAAGATAAAATCAAATGATACAATTTATAATATTTTATAAAAATAAATGCTCTAAATAATTTGTTTTATTAGAATATTAGATATTTCGAAGTGGTTAAGTCAAAATAATTCATCGTTTCGATGTGCTTAGTAGAGGATGACCATTCAAATCTMCTATAGGCATTTGAATGGTTTCCCAGTTCGAAATGACGCATCAGCTCAAAAACCATTGTAATGATCGAAAAGATTTACGGTTGCCACGACTTACTTATTCCCTGTTTATTGAAATTCACTTCAGTTCTAATCACCCGTACCGTCGTTTAATGTACTAAATGTAAAAATCGTGATCAAAMGTTCTATCGATCAAAAGTTCTAAAACAACAAGGAACTACGTAAGACGAAATCAAAATAATTGTTGTTGTCTTCAAGATTTTGGAGTAGATCTCAAAGTATTTTACATGTGAAAGCTAGATTTTCGCCTTGGCTTTGTTTATTTGCTTAAATCGACCTCTGGGTTGACGCACAGCGTAAAATACTACACCAGAATTGGAAACTACTCTTCGGAGGAATTAATCTATAAAATCAAATTTGAATATGACATTTTTTGAGCTTTTAAAACATTTGACGGAAAAGTGCTCTGAAAAACATATACAATCCTTCATAAAAGAAAATAGATTGAAAGGATTTGGGGGTTAGTTTTGTAAATTGAATGGTAACCACGTTCATGCACGAACTTCTACARATTGTCCAACTCTAAGAGCAATGACATTTTACTGACGATACGAGGTAAAAATGATGGACCTACCACAGACTGACGTTATCGACGAGCTGTCCGCGTGGATAAATTTTTTCATAACCGCCTCTTCCATAATTTGCTTGACCTAAAATGAGAAATATTGCACTAATTCAGRATCTAAAATAACTTAACCTTAATTCAGATATAAATATTCTTATTCCTTGTCTACCAAACACTTTGAATTGGTGAGTTCTGTTTAGGATAGAGAAAAATCACACTAAAAATCAATAGAAATAATTTCCTCGTCGATTGTCAAGTAGAAGAGAGCGAGGAAATCGACGAGAATGATTGAGCTGCTCGCATCGAGAACACTGCAAACTCACCTCACGTTTCAGGTTCTCCAGAAGCTTTTGCCGTGTCTCCTCATCTACACAAGCAAAAACCATAGCAAAAATTAGTAACATAGCAAGAATTTCCCCCAAAATATCCCTTGACAGCAAATTATTCTACTTTATAAAGCTTCCCCAGTACCTGATTGAGGAGCCATCTTGGCTTTTTCCGGACTCTCCACAAAAAGTCAATGAATATTCAAACCCTWAGAACCAATCAACAACCGAGAATTTATGCAAATCAGTGCTATATTCCAGCGATCAGAGAGCACACGACCTAGATTGATGTACCTTTAATCTCTTGTGCAGATACTAAATAATCTACAAAATTGTACAAAATTGTACAGCTTTTCTCAGCGGGACCACTACCATATCAAATTTCAATGTTGTCAAACGTTGCGTGAACATTTTGCACACTGTGAATGCGGTATAATACAAGACTTGCACTTTACGAAAATATCATGCAAACTAGCTCGCCCGCTCGCCCACATGTTGACATACAAAATGTGCGGTCAAACGCTCAACCACTGTGAGAATAAAATGCAAAATATAAGACAAATCTTTTTTTTGTCAAAAAAGCACCCTTTCGGAAACGTTTTCTTCAAATAAATTGCAAATTAATGACATGATCATTATCACGAACACAGAGGGAACGAGCAAAGTTGTCAGCTATTTAAAAAGCTGTCAGTTAAAAAGCAAAAGTTCAAGATAAGGCGAAGATTCAAGAATTCATCTTATATTTTATATATGGAAAGCAGGCACTTTAACTTGCCCTGGCTGGGGTAAATCAAATTAATACAATAGTCTATCGACAGTAAGATAACAAGCCCGCTAGAAGAAAAACACGAAAAATCACTATTGTAAACAGAGAATGCGAGGACATGTTCGGACAGTGATGGAGATTTCTATATCGAGAACTGAATTCTTTGTACCAAGGAGAAGAGGTCCAGGCACCGGAAAGCTGCAGCAATTTTCGATGCGCTGTAAACTTTTATATTTGAACTTGTTGTTTAATTAGAGGAAAATGAACGTGAGAGAAAATGAACGAAAGGAAAAAGAAAGAAAATTGTAACTGCAGATGTGAAAAAAACAAAGCAACCAATCAAATCTTGTTGCTGTTTGACTGGCTTGAGCTAAGTCAAAGATTGCCAAGAGTTCCATGAGGCCAGGCATGCCAATAATTATTTTCGAAAATCGTTTCTTCTTTGAGAAATTTTCAATAGGACGTCTTTGTATTAAATCCAGCTGTGCTTGTTGTTCGATTCGACTGAGCTGTAACATTGATATAAGTCGCATAACAGTACTCTATTACAATCTTGGACAGTTCGCCACCTGAAAATGAATCCAGTTGTTTTGAATCAAGCCCGAGTGATAATTGGAGCCAAGTATGTAAGGGAGCTCGGAAAAATACAGTATATTTCCCCTTAATCATCAATTTCTTAATGTCCTCAAAAACGCCACCAAAACGCAGCATTGTGGAAAAGGCTATGCTGCCAACGAGGCCTATTTACACCTCTTGATCAGTGTAACATCTGCACGACCAAACAGGTTAATACGAAAAGGTTAATATTAAAAATTTTTAACAGCAAATTAATTGATGCAGTGTCAACAGCTAAACTACGACGACCTCTAAATTGTTACTAGAGTGCTCATTGGTTGATTGCAGCACCGGTCGTCCCACTGCGTGCACACACAGACAACCCAAGGCTATGCGAGGCCCCATTATGAATCCAAACCATCTGCTATTCGACCATTCGCCTGTCGGCACTCACTTGCTACGATCAGCGTTTTTCTGGTCAGTACGTTGTTTTTTTTATAGTCACTGGAGATTTGGAGTCCGCGTCAACTGACGAACTAAAATCATTTCTTTGACTTTGGTGCAATGAAACACAATCTTCATGCAACTCTCTTCTGTTGCCGCATTGAACCCTGGGCAGACTATCAAATCTGAATAAAACGCCGTTTACGAATTCACGCAGTGCAATGTTGACAGGGATCAGTCGGTGAAACACTAGGAAATATTAAGATCGATTTGCAGACCATACACAMAAAAAAAAAAAAAAAACCGGAGGGGGAGATGGAGAAGACCAAAGGTTTGTGTAGTTATTTTTTCCCTATTTCTCTCTTTTGGGAGTCAGGATTTGTTGTAAGAGAACTGAAATATTCTTCTTGGACGCCATTTCACGCAGGATTTTTTCCAGACTATTTTTTTATTATTTTTTTTTATGGTGTCAACCCCTATCGACCCGCAGTCTCGTGATACCGCGCCACGTTGTGGGCGTAGGATTGCCCGGGAAACATTATCGCATAATCTGAATGCGCATAAATTACGAGTTAATCAAGGCCCGGGCAAGTTCCTCGTCATTTTAAAACAAATTTTAAAAACTATAACCTTTGAAATGGTTCCTTCGTGACTAATTCAAAGTAAAGCGATCACGTACCATCACAGAAATAGATTTTTTCAGACCGCCATTGAAGCTGCGAATAGAAACGTACTACTAACTCTGGAGGAAAATACTATTGATGACCAACGTACATACTACTGGATGATTACAGACTGTCTTCGCTTCGATTCCAGTACAATCTCGTCGCGAGAATACTTTATGTCCTAAAGACTGAACGGCTCATAAAGACAAAATTGTGAAATTGTGGCCGAAAACGATCGAAACTTCTGTTTTACGGTGATCTTTTTTTCGAAACTTTTTCCCTGCTAGCAGAGGCTTACACGGTAAATTCTGTCACGTAAAAGTAACAGAATTTACCGTGTAAGCCTCTGCTAGCAGGGAACGAAACTTTAAACTATAATCGCGAAAAGACTTGGAAACAAAGAGACCATGCAATCGAACAGTCCATGATTAGCTCTCGAAAACTTCTTTTTCAATTTTATTGTTGTTTGGCAAGAAAAAAGTTCGGTTCATGATGGAATTTACCCAGTTCTCTAATCGTCAAACTGAGAACCTATTCAAGGACGGATACTAAACGCAAGGCACACAACTGCCATCTCTTTTCAAGAAGATTATATATATAGAATCAAAATTGGTCCAAACTGATGAATGTGAAGAGAAATTTTACAATAAACCATGATTCCACTATGGAAGATGTAATAAATAACATAGAAAATGAGGCTGTATATTGTTGATTGTTTCGTATTGGTGTGCGCCTCAACGATCCTCGCCCGACTGAGGTCCGTATTCAGTTCATACGTCTTGTCAATTTGTGTTGATCCAAACAGCGTTTATTCATATGTAGGATCAAATAGAGTCAGAAATATAAGAAAGGTTCCTTTAATATACATATGCACTGTTATCGTCAAAAAAAGATGTATTTGTGCACGGCAATGATATAGCTCGACGTTTTCATCTGCGCCCAGCTCTTGCCGTACCAGCGTTGATCTTAACTAATTCATGCGATGTGCCAATTAAAACTATACATGGTTTTGCCGCGGTCTCAGTTATTAGCGATATTTAGTCAGCGCTGACACATGACTTGATTTTAGGATTGCGCGCTCCTATCTAGTTAGTAGAAAGAGAGGAATGAATAAGATCACAGAATAGCGGCCATCCTTGCACCTTAGAGGATCGAAATGTTCGTAAGTCTTACGAAACTAGCACAAATAATCTGAAGTTCTGTTCAACTGTTAGGGATGCCTTGACTCTTGCTGTTTCACCGTTTTTTTTGGTCGAGAGATTATGTTATCTTCTACTAAGGACGAATGACGTAAGACGTTGAAATTTGCGCTAAATCTTTCGCAATTAACTCGCTACAATAAAATGTCAAAAAGCGCACAAACAAACTGTAATATGATTTTATGAAATACATTATGACAAAGATAAAAATACTAAATCATGCTTGCATGCTTGAAAGAAACGGGCTGCTCGTCTTCGACGCCAGGCATGGCTCAGTGCCAGCGCGCGTCTGCACGTACTACGTTTATTCTTTTTTGTTCTTGCCTCATAATAAGTAAGTCAAAGAAGTCCTTACGCACGCCATAGTAAGTGAACTTCATTGAATTTTTTTGATGCAAATGCGTTTTATAAGGGTGATGAAAAAACTGAAAATCTTCGTGTAGCTGTATACAGTGAGATTTCTCTCTGTAGTGTATTCACAGGTCCATCGGCAGAAGGTCTACTTACCAAGCATAATCAGCCTTTCTCGCATCTTGTACGAGGTGATTTTATGAACACTAGATTTCGAAAGTGTGCGGAAGTCAGTGTGTAGCCGTTATGTTACCCTGTGAATAAATAGAAACGTCTAAAGGGCGCGATCAGCTGACCATTATTAGACGACGTCATGGCCTTGAAATGACATCAGGTTTATAAACGCCGATTCCAAGCCGCGTACATTCTTGGATACTCATGAGGACAGTCTTCTGTCGGTCGTATCTCGCTCCCAAAGAAAATAGAATAGTGTTGGTAGTTCGGTACGAAATACCCACTAAGAACTAAGCCAATGGCAAAAGAATACACGAGTCATCATTCATGTGTTGATTGATGGACAAACACATTAAAGGTGCGGAGTGGGGGTGAGAGGAGGTGTGTGATATACTTTGCGATTCCTCAAATTTGGACACTTAGTCCAGTGCCATCGACCAAGACATTTCGATATCGACACTTTTAAATTCCATCAAAACCGCGGATTCCAAAACTCGTTTATCCTTGGATACTCAGGAGTAATGTTCTGTCACTTGCGCTCAGACAAATAACAGTTCAGCTGCGAGCATAGATCAGGATCAGAGGATCAGGTTAGTATTATCATATAGAAGTAGCTCGATACCCTTGCTACGGCGCACGACCAGTTTGACAAATAAATACGGTCTGCTCTGTCCTCCTACGGTCCTCACTTGAACTACTTCATCACACAAGTAACGAATTTTACATCATAACAAGCAATCAAAAATAAGCCGATGCTTCATTCACGTGTTGATAGATGGATATACAAATTATAAGCGGAGTATGGGATGGAAGGGTGTGTGTGTCCAGGCATGTCTCACATTAGTTCACCGATTTATACACATCTTGAAAAGTAATTTCTTTTATGA